ACACAGCGCGGAGGTTGCAGGTATGCCCCCGCAATTATGGAAGTGGAACGCGTCCACTTCACACATTATAAAAATACACCCACCTACCAAATTTCATCCGGATATCTCGAAAACTGAGAGACTAGATTGCATACAAACAGACGGACAGATAGACAGACAGACAGACAGACGGACATGGCTAAATCGACTCAGCTCGACGTCCTGATCATTTAAGTATACATTTTGATGGGTCTATCTCTTCTTATTCTGGTACTTACAAATATCGGACCAAAGTTATAATGCTCATGGAAGGTATAAAAATGTCAAAACTTTGGGAATTGGGCCAAGACTATTTGTATAAAACTTTTTGTAGTAATATTTAAAATATTTAAAGTTAATTTTCCAAATTCCAAAAATGTAAAAATCTGTCCTGCTTTTTTATCAGCCGCAGTATCTGACGTGACGCTACCTTACTAAAATTTCTATTGAAAGTTTTGTTGTTAACATTAAACAAATTTTTAACGCAAATAAAACATGAATTTCAGCCTTAGCTAGTGTACCATTTCTTGCAAATCTATTTCGTACTATAACCCTACTTACATTGGAATTTATATGTAAAGCAATATAGATATATTTTGCACTTTAAAGCGCAGAAATTTGTACTATCTTTGGTTTGTATGTGACGCGCCTTCAGTGATGTGCTTATTAAAGTGCAAAGTGTTAATTCTTTAATAGAAAATTTGACCAATATTCAGATTTAATTTTTTGAATTTTTAATCGATATTTGGAATACCGGGTCTTTTTATTACGATATTAATGGAACCCGATATTTTTACAGCGATACTTTAAATCGATACTTTCGTTTCGATATCGTGTCCCTACTTGTTATCACATAGTGTTTAGTGTTGGTCAATTTTTGCTCGTAAAATTAAAGAAATAAAGAAAATCATGTGGAGCTTAATTATAACCATGATAAAAACATAACAAGGTAGAACCGTTCTCTCAATTTGTCGGCCATGATTTTTTTTTGAAGTTTGCCAGCATTTATAAAAGTGAAAATAAAAAATCGAAATTGTTGTTGCTTGAGATTAAAAATGAAAATGTGTGTGTGAGTTTGCGAGTAAATTTAAAAACTAAATTGCTTGGAAGCGTCAAGAATTTTAAAAGTGCGGTCCTACCTTACTATATTTTTATCATGATTATAACTACTCAAAAATGCGAAAATGTGGTAGATATCAGACCTTGTGTGGTAGATGTGGTGGATGCTCCGAAAAGTGGTAGATCTACCACAATGTGGTAGAAGTGCGATCACTGTGAACACCATACTTCTAAGCCTAAAGAGCACCGGTTGTCAACTCATAGCGTACGCCGATGACATAGCAATCGTTGCAACGGGCAAACATCTTCAGGTCCTGAGTGAGTTATTGCAAAACGCCATTGGTCCGGTAAACATCTGGTCCATGGAATGGGACTTAGTGTCAATCCTGCCAAGACAGAAATGGTACTTTTCACAAGTATAAAACTCCCTTATTTAAACCTCCCACCCTAAACGGGGTGGCACTTACTCTCTCAACCGAGGTGAAATACCTTGGAGTTATTCTGGACAAGAAACTTGACTGGAAGCGAAACATTGAAGACCAATCAAGGAAGGCCAATACTGCCCTGTATGCCTGCAAGACGGCTATTGGCAAAAAATGGGGAATAAAACCAGCTGTGATAAGACACATCCTTTTCTATGGGGTCACCGTATGGTGGCCTGCGCAAAACAATACCTTATACAGAGCCAAGGTGGAGCGTGTGCCATGCTTGTCACGGGAGCGCTGCAGGAAGACTCTCAACCAGCTGGCATCAAAATGCTCCTTGGCTGTTGCATGGGACATAGGGGCATCCCTGGCAACTGCCTAACCGACGAGCTGACAGGGAAGGGGACGGAAATATCTATAGTCAATTCTGCTCAGAATGCGGGAATACCTCTAACCTCCTGAAAACACAGACTAAAGGCGAAACTCGTTGAGGAGGTATATATAAGGCGGGCTGTGGAAACCACCTGCCATACTACCAGGCAAATTTGGCCAAAGATTGATGTAAAGCGATTCATGGCTCTCACCCGGCTAGGCCGCTCCTCTCTCAGATTAGTAGTCGGGGTAATCACCGGACACTGCCTGATGGGCACACACGGAAAAAGGTTAGGATACCCCACCAACGATTTCTGTCGCAGTTGCAGGGACGAGGAAGAGGTGGAGACCATCGAACACTATATCTGCCATTGTCTTGACCTGGCCAACATGCGCAACCAATTCTTCAACAAGTACTTTCTAGATTGTTTGGCCGACTTGAACTCGGCGAACGTTCTCGACTTTTTGTGTTATATAAAACGCACTCGGTGGTTCAATTACTAAGGGGGGAAAGAAAGAAATGGCTTCGGCCACATCGGGCTTTTCCAGTCCACGTGTGCTTCGCGCTTTGCGCGGGGCAGCCACTCAAACCTAACCTAACCTAACCTAGGTATGCTTTTATAAGCAGATTTATGTTTAGTCTTATTCAGAGGATTGCAACAGACATTTGCTTTGGACATTTTATTAAAATCGAGTTAATTAATTGACACATTATTTGACACCAACCTTCGTGTTACTAATATCTGAACAAAAAAAAGTAGTTGTATTCACAAACCGCATTCGCATATAGAGGTATTATGCTGTAAGAAGCGTGCAATTAAGCGCTGCCACGTTGTCGTGTATGCGGAACATCAGGAGAAAAAGTAGCATAACTTCTGACCGTATGAAAGTTTCCTTTTTTTTTAATTTGCTCATCGGAAAAAAAGGAATCTGAATTTTGGGATAAAAGTTGTGGAATATATTGGGAAGACTTTTTTATTTTAATTTTTTTAAATAAATTGTTGCTATTCGCAACAAATTAGCGATCGATTTTTTTGTTTCGAAAGCTTGATTATTATTTATTACTCATAAAAAATTTCAACCGGATTCATTAAGTAGATCGCTAGAAAATAATCTTTTTCTGAGTTGATACTTAAAAATTCTTTAAACAATAACTTATGAAAAAAATTAAAATTTTGCAAAAAACACTTTACAATCTTCATATATTTATATCATAAATTGTAAAATTTGTAAAAAGATTAAAAACAATCATAAAAGTCTCGACCAGTGCTAATTAAGTGGCCCACTGCATGAATTTTGACTGATATGTGGTTTAAAATTGCATTTCCATTTTTATTAGTGTTGCTACCTACTGGCATAATCCTGAACACATCGACAAGGACACTTATCATCCAAATTAAAAGCGAAGGTTCAAGTGAATATGGTGGCAGTATTTACATTGCCTATAAGTAAAGTTGCATTGGTTCCAGCGTTGCATTATTTAAAAGAAATTTGTGATATAAAAACAATGTAGCACAATCCGTAGGGCTGAATGATTGGTGATGATGAAACACTGAAGTTCTTAATTTTTTTAATCATTAAAGAACAAATTGCTCTTGACGGTGAGGTAACTTGGAAAAATGTTCGGCGCCTTTAATGTGGTCCTGAATGTTTGCCCTACCACCATTAGCCAATTTCCATATATCCTACAATGCGCTTCATGATCATTTTTGCCATTTTGTATATGCATAACCTAAAGATAATTAAGGTAGGCTGTCTGAAGTGATACCATTCTAAAATACTTACGCAATAAGAATTAATAAAGTTTTTCCCAACATGCTTTCTAGAAAGGTGTTTCCTATTAACAATTTACGCGAATGCACTTAAGTATATTTTTAAATTATTTATCATTACTGATACGATTCAATAAGCATTTTAGGTCTAACAGGTCCATTCTGCGCGGGCAACAAAAATTTTGTAGCCTGCAAATAAAGTTTCCGTAAATTTTTAAACCCTTTTCGCATTCTGTGCACTCTTGTAACCGGTAAACTTTGTTGCCATCTCATAAGCTGTAAACAAAATATTGCCCCGTGAAATATGCAATGCCAGAAATTCCACAAATCTTCATAGCTGAATTGCTGAACATTTTAACTGCATAACCAACGTACTCAGAATTCCGGTTAACTGGTAACATCTTTTGGTAATAAAATTTTCCGGTTACAAAACCATCGGTGACGTGCAGAATAGACCTGTAAATAAAACATATTTGATATGAGCCTTAAATAAATTGTTTGAAGAAGTATGATTTTTATGAATTAAAAAAACTTCTTCAAAAGGCGTCCTACAAAAGCCCTTCAGGAAGCTCTTTTTTGAGTAGCAGAAAGCAGAAGCCGTTCAATTCATGCCGCCATAAACAAAAAAAGGAGGGAAAGGCATAACTATCAGAAAGGGCTTCTGGATGAGATTTTAGCTCCTGAAATTATCTACTCGGTAGTACTTATTTATGACCCCTCATCCGTGTACCTTATTAGGAACTTTCACTTTTTTTGGCGTTTGGTAAGGTAAACTCGTCAGATATTCAACATGTTAAAAAAACCGGTTTCTTTATTGATTTTCGACTACTAATGACAGAAAGCTCAACCTTTTTTCATAGCGAAAATCTGCTTAAAATTAGAGGACTGTCTACATGTACCTTCACTAAAATACCAGGACAATTTAAGTGTGGACCAGGGCCCCAGGACAATTTGTCTAAATCAGGACAAATCTTGGAAAACCAGGACGTCTGGCAGCCCTACGCTACGGAAAAGTTTAGCTCACTTTAATGAACGAACTAATGAGCTAGTTCAATTAAGAGCTTACTCTTTCACTCTTTAATTCAAAATCTGCCCAAGCCTACTATTAATGCTTATTTTAGTTGCGTTCGCCAAACCGTTCGCTTCGCAAGTGATAATACCACCCTTAATTTGGTGTACATATTTCTGTGTGCTGCGCAAAAATACTGTGCTCAGCGTAGCCGATGTTGGACTTATGGGCGTTATTTTTCCTAACCTCAGCCAGCTAAATGTTCTCTATCGATCCCCATATTTTTTTTTATATGAGAATTGGTGCTATTCTGTATCTATTTGTTCGAAATGAAAAACTATGTTGTAAATTCGAAACATGAAAAACTATGTATAACACAGTGGTGCAGCCTACGGATTTCCAACATTTTTATTAAAAAATACTCGTATGTTTACATGAAGTAGGAAATGTACTCATGGGGCATTACACCACGACGCGGGTAAAAAGTGTGCGAGACAGAATAGTTTGCCAAGTTTGTGATATCACTCGTATATATATCAGCAAAGCGAAAAAGACGTCTCGAAAAATACGTTGGATTGTGATACGTCCGAAATACACTGCCAAACTGCTGGTTAAATACCATTTTTGTTTGATTCCTGTAACGAAAAGTTTTTATTTGTATAATAGTTACAGATTATAAATATCTGGGGTCATCAGCAGTAGTCGCTTAAGTCGAAAATCACAGTTCTGAGAAAACCTAATTTATATATTTGAAGCTCCTTCTGAAAAAAATATAAAAGTGCACTTGAAAAGTTTTAATAAAGATTTAAAGAATCTTACTTCCACAAATCTATAATTAAAAATTCAAAAGATAGATTTATTTAGTTATTAAAAAAAAAAGTTATTAAAAAAAAAGTTATTAAAAAAAAAGTTATTAAAAAAAAAGTTATTAAAAAAAACAATATAAGTGTTTATTGCAAAACGTAACACACATAGCACAAGAAATTATGTCATCTTAGGAGTTTATGTAGAGTTAAGTGCATATGTACGGTGACCATCCTTCCTGTATTGTACCGGATGGTCCTCTTTTTTAATCAAACGTCCTAATAATTTATTTAGTTTGTACGGGATACGAAATGTTCAGTATTTTGTTTAATGTCCTGAAACCGTCCCATATCCTGTGCTGTTTTTCTATTTACTTGCTTTTATCAGTTCATTGGAATAGCGTGGCTATAAACCCAGATAGATTACACTCAATGCCTACTACTCTTCCTTAATGACAAGAAGGCGAATAGCAACATTTTCCTTAAATTTTTATTAAATTGGATTTTGATGGCCATTCAGGTGCTATGCTCAAACGGTGCTCTTCTCGGGTTCAGCCATTAACAATTCTGTACAAGTCTCTTTCGGCCGGATATTTTATTGGCCACTAGAAAAATGCTTTAGTTACGCCAATTTATAAAAACTGCAACAATAATGATGTTTTGAACTGTAGGCCTATATCCAAATTAGGTACTGTTCCCCAAGTTTTTGGGTCAGTTGTGCAACAGAGGCCTAATTTTGCAGTGAAAAAGTTGCTTTGCCCTTATTAACATGCTTTTGTAAGTGCAGGACCTTATTGCACCAACGAATTATCATTAGCATTTTAGCAAATTATCGAACTTGCGCAAAGTTTTGTGTTTCACCAATTTGATAGGGAAAAGTCACTCAAATGAAAATTTATAAGTATAATATACCATTAAAAATCATAGATAAGCATTGTACTAAAATTTGAAATGCTTAGCAAAAAGACTTTAGCGGATAAGTGATAAGTTATGCAAATTATTTATTTATTTATTTATTTAATGTCTAAATTTATATATGGTACAGACGTTATGAAAAATTACAAGCTATATATTTTAGTTACAAATTGAAAACGTAAAAAGAACAAGAGTAGAATACAATAAAGGCTATTCTAAATTTTTACAAAATAAATAGTTTTTCAATCTATTGTATATAATTGATTTTGATTCCGACAAGTCAAGATCCAAAAATTTCGAGAAACAGTTGTACTCATTAAAAGCCCTAACAATGAGGGCATTTGCATTGTAAACCGTTTTATTTAAACCAATACGAAAAGTATCAAAGCGACGAAGGTTTCTACTCGGCACAGTGAAATCTATCAACCCAAGAAGGGACGAGCAGTCGACTTTACCGAAGACGATGTCGAGAAGAAATGACATAGACAGTAGTGAGCGTCTATTATTTAATGTAAATAAGCTAATCAATTGGCAACGCGACTCGTATGGTGGAATCGGTTCAGAAAAATATAGGCTGCGCAAAGCACAGCGTAGGAATATTTTTTGCACTCTCTCCAGACGATTGATGTGAATAGCGTGATACGGTCCTCCAGATAAACGTAGCGTATTCCAGTTTAGACCGTACAAAGGCAGTGAACAAAGTCTTAAGTGTGTACGGGTCCGAAAATTGCGAAGAATGTCGTCTAACAAAAGCTAGCATAGCAAGAAAGTTTGAGATGGTGTAATTCATGTGCGCATTAAAATTAAACTGGGGATCAAAAAACACTCCCAGGTGTTTAATGACTTCACCCAATTCGAGAAAAGTGTTAGCTAAATGGTACGAAGTGCACAGAGGTTTAGGCAGTTTAGAGAACGTAGCTTTGTGGCATTTATTGATGTGAGATGATTCATTGCACACCAATTATAGAGCATACTGTGTTCTGATTGAAGATTGATCGAGTCGCTGTGGCATCTAACCGCAGAGTATACTTTTAGGTCGTCCGCGTATAGAAGAAACCGAGCTGAAGAGAAACACAACGATACATCATTTATAAAAAGAATGAAAAATAATGGACCCAAAATGCTACCCTGAGGAACTCCAGAGGTTGCAATAAATGGTTTCGATGAGACACCATCAATAAGAACACTAGACTTCCTATTATCCAAGAACGACTTGATCCAATCCAAAAAAAAAAAACAGAATGAAAACCAAAATTAGCTAGTTTAACCACCAATAATTTGTGGGAAATCTTATCGAAGGCTTTGGAGAAATCGGTGTGAATCACATCAAGCTGGTAGCCACGTCGAAAAGTCGCAAAGCAGTCCTCTGTAAAAACTCAGATTAGTTAATGTGGACCTGGCCGCCACGAACCCATGTTGATTAGGACTAATCAATTGCTTCACAATAAAATGCAGCTTATTTTTTATAATACATTCGAAAAGTTTAAAGACCGACGAAAGCTTTGAAATTGGCCTATAATTCGTAATATCACTTGTATTGCCACTTCTAAATACTGGGGTGATAGTGGTACGTTTCCAATCATTTATGAAGGTACATGAAGATAGAGATCTATTAAATATTAAAGTGAGCGGTGTCACTAAAGAGAGTAGAGGAGGACAGTCTGCAAATAATAAAAGGCGTGTCATAAAAGAACAAATCAACTACCGTTTACATACTGGTGTAGTAGAAAAATTTCGGCTATCTCGTAGCCAAATTGAAAAAATTTTATTGAAAATTGGAGCGAACTTAATATAACAGTGAGCGTAATAATGGCATGATCAAATGCATGGGGTCCACAAATTAGCGTTGTGTAGAGTAATCCATCGAGTGGAAAATACCGTGATAAACAAATTGATGGATAAAACTATTTGTTAGCCGGAATTTACGCAAAATATTGTCAGACAATTTTTCAACATTGGTGGATTTCCTTAAGTCGCAAGGTGCATTGATGAACTATGATAAACATAGACGCCCCTAAGGTTACTGAGTACCAATTTGTTAATCAGTACGGAAATCATTCAATTAATGCAATGTGGTTTTTGTGTTTTTGTTACTGAATTATTTTGCAAAGATCCAACTAAATAATACTAAAATGTAGAAAAATTTAGTTATTTACAGCGTGGCGACGAATAACTGTTACCCCGTTTTTTTTTTTGAGAAATAAAAGGGTCCTTTATAGATTTTGCGGAAAAAGCATTTTATTGTTGTAGGGCAAATGTATTTCAGAAAAGCACAAATGTATTTCAGAAAAAATATTTTTAGAACACAGTTATGCTTTTCTGAAATACATTTGTGCTTTGTGCTTTTCTGAAATACATTTGCCCTTTTCTGAAATACATTTGCGTTTTTCTGAAAATCATTTGATTTTCTCTGAAATACAATTGTGTTTTTCTGAATTTCATTTGGCTTTTTTTGAAATACATTTTGCCTTTTCTGAAATACATTTGAGCTTTTCTGAAATACATTTGCCCTTTTCTGAAATACATTTGAGGTTTTCTGAAATACATTTGAGTTTTTCCGAAATTCATTTAGCCTTTTCTGAAATTCATTTGGCCTTTTCTGAAATACAATTGTGTTTTTCTGAAATACTGTTGGAAAAGACGTAGTTCCTACCTTTCCAACAGGAGTTGTATAGTTGTGATCGATAATATATTATCCACTATTTTTGACTTGCTGTCAATCATATCGAATCATATCAAAAATTACATGGCCTTGCATAAAATTTCGACTAGTATATAGACTAGTGTATTAAAATGGAAAACTTGGATAGCTTTCGACGATTTTCGTCGTTTACTTATTTCAGCAAGACAGTAGGCAATTCCAGTGTTGTCGAGTCGTACAATTTAGTCTAATTGCGACTTACGCAATGAGGCTCAGTATCTTAGGCCCTCTCTTATTTTTTCTATTGATAAATCATGTGGGGTCATGCTTTCTGTCGTCTAATTATTTATTATATGTCGAAGACCTCAAAGTTTACGCAGTGATCAGAGACTCACAATAATATAACGTTGCAATCTAATCTCGCTAACCTTCACTCATGATGCTTTCTTAGGGCCGATTTCTCCATCACCAGTTAACACTAACTTCCCGATTAAACATCGTTATCGACGTTCCGACTCCATGCATATAACAGGGAGTCGATAACGTCGGTAATGACGTTTAACGGGGGATTAGTGTTAACCAGAGAGAGAAACCGGCCCTTAATTGCTTATCTTTGAACGTTAGAAAATGTTCCTATTTCACTTTCACGAGAAAGCTTCTTCACGTTCAAACCAATTATAGTATTGGTGGCTACAGTGGCGGACCCAGGTTGGGGAGATTGGGGAAATTTCCCCCCAAGACTGTGTAACATGTATTTTCATAATATTTAACTGAATATCGTGAAATATCATTACAAGAATATATAACAGGTTTGTCCCAGAAGCTACTTGTAGAAAAACTCGATCAAAGTTCAAACTGTGAGCGTATATCAAAGAAACTCGAAAACTTACTCGAGAAGCTTGGGGAACAAACCTAATGAATGGATGCTTTTGAAAACTTTAATTCATGAAAAAAAGTGTATCAAATTTCACTTGAGTTTGAAATTTTAGCTGTGTGTTAAGCTCGAAGTGTTATGTTATTTAAGTAGTCCTAACAGTTTTTCGAATTCACTGAATTTTCAAAATTTTGAAATTATGTACTTAATTTTCAATTTTTACTTTTTTTGTTTATATTAAATTTTCTATATTTTCCAAAATTTTGAGAATTTTATTTATCCTAAAATCCATCCTAAAATGTAAAAATGTGAAACATCACAAATTGTCGAAAAATTCTTATGTTCATGTACTTGTGTGTAAAAAATAGAAAATTCTTCGAATTCTAAAAGATATTAACATTTTTGAAAAATTCCAAAATTGTTCCACTTTTCTGGACTTTTCAAAATTTTGTATTGATAAAACAAAGTTTGAGAATTTTAAACAACGTCCAAAAATTTTTTTAATCTTCAAAAACGACGAAATATGAAAATGTTTTCAACATTCGAAAACTTTTAATTTCGTTTGATCAATTTTGTATATTCGACACTTTCACTTAGAAAAAATTTGGTTAGAATTCCTACAATTCTCAAAATTTTTGAAAAATAAAAAATTTCTAGAAATCTAGTATTCATCATTATATTGAATTATTGGGATTTACTAAAATTTCTCAAATTCACAGTCTTGAAAGTTTAGAAAATTTTGGAATTTATTAAAACGGGAAAACTTCAAGAAATTAAAAACTAATAATACTCTAAAAATTTTAAACTGCGGTGATTTTTAAATTTATGTACACGATATATGTTGAAAAATTTCCTGTAAATTCTTGCAACTTCTTGCGAGTTAGGGAACGCAACTAATATTGGAATATTCATGTATGTATGTTTACCAACAAGTTTTTAAAATGTTTAGCTTTTTTGTCCGTATTCGGCTGATTATAATATGGTCACCGTATGCATATGCCACTGATCGTTGTTGAATGTTCTCATTTTGCAATAATCTCCTATCAACACCTTAACGGCAAAACTTGATTTAAGGAAATTATGTTCGAACGCCCACTTAAGCCATTTGTACACAATTTGTGGCTATCAAAAAAACATCATCCCAAGTGTATTTAGGTATTTATTGCTTTAAAAGCACTTGGCCATTATGTTTTTTATTAATCACTTTTTGTAGAAGTATGCTAGGAAGTTAAGGATTTCCCCTAAAGATGCAATCTTATTAAGAGAATAAGGTCTCATTTTTTACTCAAATCTGTCCTAAGTCGACTTAAGTGATTATTGATTAAGACCATAGATATATTACATGTACCTGAGCATATCTCGTTCTGCTTGCCATTTTTGTAAGCATATCTGTGCAGCCTCACATTCGTAGTCCTGAATTTCTTCGATGAGTTGTGTCAACATTTGTAGCCAATTTGCATTGGTTTTAAAATTAACATTATTCAAAGTCTCTATTTCGTGCTGTGCAAAAGAGAATAAATATTGCTAACTTTGCCTTGGACAACAGTAAATTTTCTACCGTGAGCTCATTTATAATTGCACCAGTCCTCCATCCATGCTCTAATGTTACATCCGCCAAATCACTGTACGGATGGTCTCCAAAGTATAACACATTATGCCCACGCCATCCGGTTAAGTCTTGGAGTTGTTTTACAGTACCCTGAGAATTTCAATTAATGTTATTTAGGGCCAGTTTTTCAGTGCACGGCTGTGGTTTAAACTTGGTTTAAACGCTCGAGATGGTTGGTCTAAAGTGAAATTCAAATGTCGTCTAGCTGTTCAATATAAACGCTGTTTACGTGATCTAAGTTTAAACTGGCACTGAAAAACTGGCCCTTAGTAGTTAATTTTTGCTTATCTAAATGTTTTACCTCATAGTATATTTTTCCTTTCTCAAGCTTTGAAACACGATCCCAAACATGTGAATTTGTCTTGTCATCATATAACCTAATTGGTCGTGATTCGTCTGTAAAAAATTTTGGTTTTCGCGCCTGAGCTATTATAACATCAAAATACTCGCGCCATTTTTCACCAGCTAGAAGAGTCATTCCTCGGTTTCTGTACAACACAAAGAATTTCTATGAAGGTTCAAATGTGAATATAAAATTACTTACACAAATGAAAATGGACTATTCGTTACTAGGAACAATTTTTTGCCAGCTTTAGTTAATTTTTCAAAATATTCCGGCAATCTGCTGTTCTTTTCGATATATTCACCAACGTTTTTCATAACTATTTCATGCATTACAGGATGGCACGATTGCACCGATGATTTTATGTCGTGGAAAAGTATTTCAGGATTGTAGTCGATGTGATTTTTTTCGAAGTATTCAGCAACGTTGCACAAAAGGCACATTTCCGGAACAGAGAACAAATCTGCCAGCTGAACCATCTTTGCCTTAGTATTGGGCTTTAGCAAAACCATACATTCAGTACTTATGCTACTAGATACATGTATAGAAAGTCCATCGCCATTAATTACCTGATAGTTTTTCGATTGTCCTTCAACATAAGCGATAGGAAGTATGCGATTTTTATAGAGCTTTAATACTTCGGCATCGGGAATTTTAGTAAGACCGCGATAAACTGAGCCCAGCTGTATTTGAAGAAACGAATCGAGCTTCAAAAGCAAACCTTTCTCTATATCGTAATGGAGTCCACGCACTGCAAATCCTGGAATGTACTCTAATTTTGATATATTTTCAGGATACTGAAAATTATATTTAAAATTGTATCCTATGATATATAGGGAGGAGATGAAAAAACACAACTTGCCTTGAATTTTTTAATCAGTCTATCACGACCTAAATTATACAGCAAATCATGAAGGCAAGGCTTGTAGCATGCCAGTGTGTAATCATAATCAAACCCATACACGTCAACTTCTTCTAAATCAAGCTCATTGTTAGCGAATACGCCACAAGGATTAACATCCTTCGGTAGTTTTTTAGCTGAAAATAATTTATAAACATAATTATTCTATTCTCCTTAATTTGTATCCAAAATTATAATTATTTGTACAAATTTCTACCACTGCACACTGCCCGGAATTAAATTTATTTGGCATAAATTCTAAAAAGAAAGTTATCATTTTCAAACTTGGTACATATGTTCCTCATGCTATTAGCAAGTTATGGTAAAACTCTTAGGCCGATAGATAACCCGTACGGCCACGCCTTCTCCTATCCCCATATATAACGTTGTTTTTGAACGATAACCTTTTTCAAAACTTTTTTAAAACTTGCTTAAACCCCTTTAGTATGGCACCCATATTGTGATACATACTTCAATTACCTAATCGCCACAATTTTAAGTTGAATTTGCTTATTGAAACATGTGGAAACCCTGCTAAATATAGTTCTGAATAAAGCCTTTCAAACGTATTTCGATTGATACCAATCTCCTTCAAACACCTCATAAATAGCTTAAATATTCAAACTAAAGATTTCTTAGCAAACTTAGCACGAAAAAAAAAATATTGCACATCTGTAGGCCAAGCTCTTGATACCTTATTTTTTGTAAATTGAATGAACTGTGCAAATCTGATGTCATTAACAAAAAATCCATATGTATATGTAAGGTAGTAATTTTTAAAAGGGTGGCAAGCCCACTAAAAAAATATAACCTTACTGCAAATCTGGGGACCGTATCCTTTCACTTTGCACCTTATTTATAGTCCAACTAACTGTGAAGATATTATAATTTTTAAAATGGTGCCAGCCCTACTAAAAAGATAATATAAGTACATTATTTGACATCTAGAGGCCAAGCACCTTATTTTGACACCTCATTATCTGTAATCCAAAGAACGGTGCGGATCTTATAATTTTTTGGACAGATGGCAACCCTATAGAAATTCTCAGGCCTAAAGATAATACCACTATTAAAAGTGTTCACAAATCCGTTCAGTAGTTTTCAAGATTAACGTGGTGAAAAAATTCCGAATTTGCTTTATTCTATGTAAGGAGGATACATAGATTTCTACGTGTACTCCGCTTAAAATGTTAACTTTTGGAAAAATGAGCAAAAATTACCCAAATAAAATCTAATATAATTAAGCATTTTTGTATTATTAGTTCCCGTCATCACTTGGCAGATTGCTAGTTCTACTCCACGGAACACAAAAATATTGTATAGTATTTTTCTTTAAATACGCACTACAAGCACATTAAATAACAACAAACAAACACACACACACGATATGCACATTAACTAATTATTATTAGAAATACCTTAACCTTTATTTTCCATATCTAATTTTGTTTATTTAAATTAACCCAACCTTTCACAAGCTTATCACAACTGACTAATAATTTTGCACCAATTCTGACAAAATATCAGCTAATCATACACATGACTTCGAAAGCGTTCTGAAAGCACAGGGTTGAAACTTCAAATCTTTTATTTGGAAATTTTCTTAGTTGACATATGTACTTTTATAAAAATAACTGCTATCAAGAATATATTGCTATAAAAATCTTGAATTTATGCCAAATAAAATCCAATTCCGAACAGTGTGCACTGAATTAAGAAACGCAATCTTATACCATCTTTCAATCAAATCGATTCTCGATATTGTTATTATTTCGCGCAGAAATCTTTTCGCGTAGGCACCTTCGGACTCGCTTTGATCCTCATCGGTCCAAGTCCGGGTTCCAACCGCGCTTCAAAAAAAACGTCCAATTCCGGATGCGTTGGATACAATTCTTCGCGCAGAGCTCTTTTCTGCGTGGGAGGTTAATATTATGTTTGTAGAGGCACTACTAAGCCCCGCCTAGGTCGGTTGATCCATTAATCATTCTCAGAATATAATTTAGGTAGGTCTTCTTAAGTAAAGTTATTCTAAAAGACCCACCCATGATGGGCTGAAAAAAATTCTTCCCTGCATGCTCTCTAGAGAGGCTTTTTCTATCTACCATTTACACGAGTGTGTAAGTTTATATTATTTAACATTACAAATTAATTTAAATATCCATTGTAGATTGCAATAAAACATATGAATGATATGAGGTGGAAAACTATCGATAGTAGGTGACAATCGATATTTGCCGACAGTATTGATGCGCTGCTGGTAACAGAGGAAGAGGAAGGCCTCCTCTGCGTTGGATCAGGTGGGTTTTTCCCATAGAATCCGAATCTGACCGTAAAGTTATTGGATTAGCTCTAGTTTTCGAGAAACTTAGGTTTAAAGATGGCGAAAAACGCATTTTTGGACATTTTCGAGCCTCTGTAAAAAAATAAATGGGAGGATATAAAAGCCTAAAAACTGCCCTTTAATACTCAAAATCAAAAAATATAAGAGTCGGCTGTAATATTTTAAGTAACATAACATTGTTTAAATTTGTTGGCTTGTGTTATTAATAGTTAATCGCGTCGAACTTAAAACTCTCTCTGACTCCACAGACGATACTGGAACACAAAGGTATTTTATATTATATAGGAACATAAAGCTTTGTTTTTTTTTTTTGATGGCAGAGATATTGAGGATCTGTAACATTAATGTTGGATCAATCAATTCTAAATTTATCAGCCTGTTGAAATTTAAAATGACACAATTTTGTTCGGAAAATTTGTAAGTTTAAATTTTAACAGCCAATTTTACGAAAGCAATTTAAGGCACTCCGCACATTACGCGCCTAATCTTAGTAGAGCCGAAACGAATGCATGACGACTCCACTTCTGCACACTACCGCGCCCTGCATAAGCCATTGAGGCACACACATACCACACATTATATATTTTCTGGCAGTTCTTTCTCAATGATACACTTCCGCGAATATTTCTGCAGAAAAATATTGCATAAAGGCTTATAGTTTAGTAAAATTAGCACGAATTTTAGCACGAAATCATTAATTCTCAATTATTTCCTATTGAAATGACAAATAATTTTTATTTCCAACACAAAAAAGTAAACAAATGAAGATTTCAAAACAGCAAGCGCCTTACAATGTTGGGCGCTTCGATTCATGAAGCTTTTATGATTAGGCGAAAACATGATTATGAATTGTAATGTACAGATCATCATTCAAATACATGTGTTCTTAATAAAAGCTTCATACTTTAGTATGCCGAAACGATTACACTGCTATGATTAGGCGCTTAATGTGCGGATTGCCTAAGTGAAAAATTATTTGAATTTTATGTGGAAATTGGCAGAAAATAAAAAATCATTTTCTATTTAAATTGCTGGTAAAATCGGCTGTAAAAGTCTCATAAATTTTAAAAGTTATTGGTAAAACTGGGGATAAGTAAATTAATATAAGCTCCATGATTCGGTTTAATCACCGATTTAAGATCCTTGATTAACATTGGAGAAACTGCTTGACCTATTCCTTTTTACCTCGACTTTCATTGTCGGATGTATATGCCTTCTTCTTCTTTTTCTTTATTGGCACTGTACCTGCCTAAGCGATTTGGCCGAGTGCAAAACAGCACGCCAGTCGTTTCTCTTCTGTGCCAACTGACGCCAATTCAAAATACCAAGTGAAGCCAAGTCCTTCTCCACCTGGTCTTTCCAACGCAGAGAAGGCCTTCCTCTTCCTCTGTTACCATCATCGCGGCTCCCCAAGCCAGCGGCGCCGCTGAATTTTAATTCGCTGCACTATGTCTATATCGTTGTGAAGCTCATACAGTCATCTGCGGTATTCGCTATCGCCAACGCGTAAATAGCCGCTTTATCAGATGTTTTCATTGTCCATGCTTCCGCGCCATACATGGGCACAGATATGAGGAGTGACTTATAGAGTGTGATCTTTGTCCGACGAGAGAGGACTTTACTTCTTAATTGCCTACTCAGTCCAAAGTAGCACTTGTTGGCAAGAGTGATTTTCCCTTGCATTTCAAGGCTGACACTATTGGTGTTAATGCAGCTTCCCAAATAAACGGAATCGTTTACTTTTTGCAACTGACAACAGTGACGTGTGTACCACGACGCGTATGCTCTGACCGTTTCTGTGATGACAAGAGATACTTCATTTTGTCCTCGTTCAACACCAGAACCATTCGCTTTGCTGCTCCCTCTAATCCCGAGAAGACAGATCAAACGTAGTCCTTGTGTTTACCGATAATATCGATGTCGTCGGAATACGACAGCAATTGTACGCTCTTGTAAAGTATTGTGCCTGAGTGGTTCAGTTCTACGGCTCTTATTATCCTTTCCAAAATCAAATAAAAGAAATCACACGAAAGACAGACACCTTGTCTGAAACCTCGTTTGGTATCAAACGGCTCGGAGAGGTCCGTATGGTATTGCTCAACGTCATTTTACACAGCCGTATTAGTTTCTCGCGGATACCAAATTCAGACAACGCAGCATAAAGACAACTTCCTTTCGTGATGTCGAAAGCGGCTTTTAAATCGACATTAGGTGGTGAGTACGATCCTTTTCTCTCTTTTCCCAAGATTTGGCGTATTGTGAATACCTGATCTGTGGTGGATTTTCCAGGTCTAAAGCCGCAGTGATGAGGTCCAATCAGTTCGTTGACGGTGGCTTCAGTCTCTCACACAATACGCTCGATAAGACCTTGTAACCTACGCTTAGAAAGCACACTTAAATTCCAGTCGTCGGTCATGTGTTCATCTGACCATATTCTGCATAAGATATGATGCATTCACCTTATCAACTCCTCGTACTTGAATAGTTCGGCTGCCAGGCTGTCAGCCCCTCATCGTCATCGTCATCGTCATAGACAGGGGGCTCGGGTTCGTCTTCTCCACTAATTTCTGCTGCTGCCATCCAATAGGGTGGAAAAGTGCTTCCTCCATAAATTAAGTACGTTCTGGATATCAGTCTCTAGGTCGCCCTGGTTGTTCTTACAGAAGTTCGCCCTGATCTTGAAACCTTCAGTAAGTCGCCTAACTCTCTGATAAAATTTTCGGGCGTTTTTTATACCCGAGCGCACTTGTGCACAAGGCTATATTAACTTTGTTCGCATAACGGTTGTTTGTAACA